AATGACAACAAAAGGCTAGCAACCGGATTACGACATCTACGCAGCGAGCCGAGCGAGTCAGCCACACCTTCTCCTAGTCGCCTCCCTCTTTTCACCTTCCGCCTCCTCGAGTCCTTCGTCGTCCCTTTCCTTTAACTCAATCAACATATGATGGATGTTGATGCTCTTTCCTCTTTCCTCTTCCTCAATTAACGAAGGACGAGATCACAATTTGTTGATTTCTAGCAAATTTCTCCTCGACTTTCAATGATAGGTAAAATCTTGTTTCTATAATCCCTAGGTTTATCTATTTTTCTTCGTTCAATTTGATTTCATAGTCTTCTCGTAACCCGATTCTCCATAAACTTGGAGAGAAAATGGATGTCTATACGTCCAACGGCAAGGGCATTACCTATGGCCACATCTAGCAGCAAGGTGGTCCAAGGGCAAAGTCATCAAGGGGATCACACACTTAACTCAATCCTCGATATTCTTGTGTTTCAGTTTCATGCCATATCTCATGTGTTGTTTGTGTACTAAGATTCCATCTAGAAATGTAGTTTTTTTTTTTTGAATAATTGATTTGAAGATTGCTTAAGGCCGTGTCGCGCAGTAGAAAAGCGGTTTAAGCTGAAAGCAAGTTTTTCAATGAATGGGTGCGATTCTTGGTATATCATATTGCTATGTAACACATTATAGCATGTATATTACTATTATAGGTCTATTTTTCTAGCGAGGTAGGAGTGTAGGACTAATTTTAGAGTTTGGCACAGGCCCATGATTTTGTTGGCCCGGCCCTATCCTAAGCCCTGCAAGTCACCTTACGGAGCTCAATGGGAGGCAAAGTGGTCATCATATGTGACAAAGGCATTGGATTGTTATTTTGGTACATGTGGATCATGCCATTTTATTTTGCATCTATCTTATCCAGATCTTGTCTTTTTATTTCCCATATAAGGGTGCACACCCCACGAGTACTTCAGATGTATATGTTTGTTAATATACGTTGCCTAGGGAAGTAGAGTTGACGACAAATTTGATTTCTCTTCTGGCTACGTCTCTCCTCCTAAGGAAAGGCAGCTAGAGTTTTTGCCTTCTATCGGTGGCACCGCCGACCGCCACGTCTCATGTGGCCTTATGGCCATGGGTGCAAGGTGGATCCCAGCCATTGGCGGCGAGAGGGCTCTGTTTTTAGGTGCGTCTTCAAGTTTTGTTAGGGTTTGTGTCCTCTCGGGAAGACGAGATGGTGACGGCTCCCAGAAGATGGAATAAGGTTCTTCCTGCCTAGCACTCGTCCCGGGGGTGCATCTAGCATCATCGGTGGGCGTGTGGAGGTGTGTATCTGGCGGATCTCGTAGGATTTGGTTGGTGGTTGTCTTTGATGGATCTGCTCGGATCCGGTCTTTATTCGTCTTTATTCTTGTGTCTTCGGGTTGGATCCTTCCAATCTAAGCTTCTCTTCATCAACGGGAGTTGTTGTTCTAGTGCTTTGGTCCTATGGGGCCTTAGCACGACGACTTCTCGACTGTCTACTATAATAAGTTGTGCTCGGCTCCAGCGAGGGAGGGGCGATGACGGTGGCGCACCTTCGGTTCACTTCAGTGCTTGTAGTCGTCGCCAAGTGATTTATAAATTTGGATGTAATTTTTATTATTTTCGGTGTTTGATGTGCTACCATGATTAATGATGAATAGCTCGAAAGTTTCCCGCAAAAGTACATAAAATAAATAGAGTTCAGGACGCACAATAGAGTTGACGCATGAGTACACCCTTCCCTTCCTCTTCTCCAATGAAGCGCTTTGTCAAGAACCAAACTCTCCCGCTACAATGTTAGGACATGAAAAATTGTGCATTGAATTGTCGATAAAACCCGCACGTAGTTATTCAAGGATACACAAAAGACTCAAATCATTCCGAGAAGGGGGAAACCCAAACAAGAGTTCATTGATGCATGTTTTACGAGGACGGCGTTTTGGTGTGGGGACCATATGCTCCTGGTGATGAACAGTAAAATAAATAATAGCAAAAGAAAAGAAAAATTGGCACAAAAAATGCACAGTTTTCTAGATTTATGCAAAAATACATGATGATATGACATCATAGGAGTTCTGGACAAGAAAACAAAAAAAACAGAGTTCTAGTTCTGAGAGTTTTAATTTTGGAGCATTGATTTTGTTTTCTCTGTCCCGAGCTCCTCCTATGTCACACTGCCATGAAACTTTGCACGCCCACAGAAAAGTTGTTCATCTTTGTTGTACAATTTTTTCAGATTTTTGTTGTTTACTGTTCATCCATGAGTTTTCACATGTTTACTATGGATTTTCACATGTTTTATACTCCCTCTGTTCCTAAATATTTGTCTTTCTACAGATTTCAACGAGTGACTATATAGGGAGCAAAATGAATGAATCTACACCTTAAAATATGTCTATATACATCCGTATGTGGTAGTCCATTTGAAGTCTCTAAAAGATAAATATTTAGGAACGGAGGGAGTAACTTCTTATAGGTAGGGAAGAAGAGAGAAGGCAGTATGCTCTGAGTGCGGCGTTTCGGTGCCCGGATGCATCTGCACCCGTTCAAAAAAAAATTCGTAAAAAATTCAGAAAAATTCAAAAAATTCCGAAAAAAATTGAGGTGGTGGACAATTTGATGCGTGAGGTGCGCCCCAATTTTCAAAACATTTGGACTTATGTGCAGCTCTCAGCAAAAAAGACAAATCAGACCAAAACAGTATATGAACAGTATACATTTTTACAGACCTCCGATTTATCTTTTTTGCTGAGAGCTGCACATAAGTCCAAATGTTTCGAAAATTGGGGCGCACCTCACGCATCAAATTGTCCACCACCCCAATTTTTTTTGGAATTTTTTGAATTTTTTTAGTATTTATTTTGATTTTTTTGTGAGCGCAGGTGCAGATGAGCTCGGGCTCAGATTTGGATTTTCGGTATGCTCTTTTCTCTTTGTGCCACAATACAAATAATCTCCGTAGTATTACCTTTTCGGGCGCAGTTGGTACAGAGCAGCCCGCTGTCTTCAATGACGCGAATCATCATCGCTCTGTCTGCTACTAGTAGTAACTAATTCTGGCTGAGGCTGACAACCAACCAAGCAAGAATTTAATTCAGAGAAGCGCCTACGAGCTGTAATTTCGGTTCAAGGCAACCTGACTTCATCCTACTAGATGAGAATGTCAATACTGGTCGTCGCCAGTAACAGAAAGGCATCAAGGGCATCATGACCATTCCCGGAAATTGCCCGGAGTGTGTTTTTATTGGAATTTTGGAGGTCTGGACGCTGGATCCGGAAGTCTTCCCTTGCAGCCTGCACTAGCCCGAGGCAGGCATCAAGTACAGAGTTCCGATTAGCAGCTCCCTGGGACGAACAAATCGACAAGCTTTCGGCGGTGCACCCTTTGAAGGCCGATTTTGATGCTTTGACCTTTTTGCAAAAGTTTAGTGAGATTTGACCTTGGTTTGAACTTTTTGCGAGCTCTGACCATTTTTCTACCGTCATGATCGATGACGGTAGGGTATAACATCCTATCATCGGGGCCACTGGCGGAAGAGGTGCACGCCCTAACGCAAATAGTTTTTAAGTATCAAATACAGTGCGTGCTCACCTACCGCCGAGCACCTCGGTGGTAGGAGTACACAGGCTACCGCCAGCCTGTTCCGCGATAGGCCAGCTCTATGATTGCCTACAGCAAGGGGCCTTCGCGGTAGGCTGGTATTACCTTACTGTCTGACCTTGGCGGTAGTAAAATGGTCAGATCCTGCAAATTTTTTGAACCAGTGTCAGATCTTGCTAAACTTTCACAAAAAGATCAAAACACCAAATTTAGCCTCCTCTGGAGTCGTGGCCGCCTGCTACCCGGCGGATCGATGAGTCTATGTCACGAGAGGCGACCCTGCTTCTATCCCAGCCACGCTACGTGCCCAGGCGAGGTGACCGACCAGGGACCCTCTTTCGTGCAACACAAATCTGGATAGACGATTCCACAAGCAACGGCCACGGACTAGCACGATCACATTCGCATCGCCCTCTCTCCCACCATTGACCAGCACCGATACGGTGGACGATGGATGGAAATCAAGATCGACCAAATCAGCAGCGATCCCCGTGTATTTAAATGGAAATCAAGACAGGTCGTAACGGACCAGGTAGGCGCGCAAGGGCCAAAATACTTGTCATCGATCAATGGAAACAACAAGGACCAACTCATCAAAGCTTCCCTACAAAACACTAATCAAAGCTTTCGTCTGGAAACACGAGTGGGTCCAGACCAGACCACCTTCGTCCCTTGATCCAATAAACAAAATCTAAATGGCTTCAAAACCACAAGGATATACGCATCATCTCATGTAAAGGTCACAACCAAAGCCTCTCTGAATAATCAATCGGCACCACGTACTACTGTATACTACTAGTATACGACTACTACGAAACATACACAGATGGGATGACATATCTACCACGCGCCCGGTTCTTTGATCCTTCACCTGGCACGCGGTGGGCGCCAGCTTGCCTGTATTTATTACGGAGCAGAGCTCCGGACCGGGGCGCTCACCCAAACCAAACCAAACCGAATGCGCCCATGCCCACCCAGACACGGAGACGGAAATAAAAACGGGGACCAACTACCGAGCAGCGCACGCCATGCTCGTTGCGTCGCCATACATGGCAACATTTCCGCCACGATCGATCCATCCATCATCGATCGGCTTTTGCTATCGAGTCGAGCGCGGCGCAGACAATAAAAAAGAAGAAGCGAACACGCATGAATGATACGGGAGAAGAAATTAAAGACTAGCAGTGCCAATGCATCGAACGGATAGCGCTAAGTACAACAGCAACAGCAATAAGTTTTCTCGCTAGATCTAGGAAAGAAGACAAGGGGAGGGGATGGGAGAGGCGAGGCGAACGACGAAACCGCTTTGTCTTGATGTGCTGCTGCCCTTCCTCCTCCTCCTGGTGGTGGTTCTTCTGGGCGCCGATGGGGGCGGCGGGCGGCGGCGTCACTCCTTTATCTGGAGCCAGCGGCCGAGCTGCGTGGGGTTGACGACGCCGGGGATGTGGGCCCCGTTCGTCATCAGCAGCCAGGACAGCTCCGCGTACCTCCTCTTCGGCTCGGGCTCGGGCCGCGGGGAGGCGGCCGCGGCAGCGGGTTGGTGGTGATGGCTCGGCTCGATCCGGCGGCCCAGGAGCGTGCCGTGGGTCAGGAACTCGTGGGCCAGATTCCCGGCTAGCAGCTTGTTGTTGCCGGCCCGAGCCGGCTTGGACAGCTCGGCTTTAGCTGCAGGCTCTGGGGCTAGGGCTGGGGCCGGGGCGGGGCCCAGCTGCTGCAGCTCCCGCTCCTTGCGCTTGCCCAGTGCGATACGCGCCGCTTCCAGCTTCTCGCTCAGCGACATATCAACGGCTGGGACCTCGCCACGTCAGCAGCGCCAGCCAAGAGGAGCCGTCGATGGGGAGGAAAGCGGTTTCTGATGGGATATGTATGTATGTGGAGGATGCAAAAAAAGAAAGAAATAAAAACAATTGTTGGGAGGAAAAAAAATCTTCAGGAGGTTGATGGCCGTGGGGCCCACCGGGGGCAGGACGGTAACTTCACAGCGCAGGGGCCGAACGAGAGGAGGGGAGGAAACAACGGGACGAGACGAGAGAAAGATCGGAGGAGAGACGGGGAGAGCACTGGAGGAGGGGGAGGAGGCGAGAGAAAATTCTTCTGGCTTATAAGAGACGGGGGGGCGTCAGGAGGGGGGGTTGCCTCCTATTTATACTAGAGCGCGCCAGAGAAGGCCCCCGGGCTTCGGAGGGAATTACGCCCGTGCCACCGCGCTTTCGTGCAGAGGGACCTCAGCCGAGGGGCGTGCTCGTGGTTGTGGGGAGACGGGAAGGGTGGATGGGTAATTACGTGCGGTGGTGGGATGTGTGTTCGCGCAGTCGTGTGGCGAGGGGACGGGGTGGATGGGGAATTCCAGGGAGCGTGTCCAGGCAAAGGATTTTGCAGCTGGGTCGATTCGTAGGTCCACCCGCCAGTGGCAGCTGCGTGGAAGTTTTGGGGTGTACGTTTTTTTAGTGTCTCGGCCGCCTGGTGTTTGGGCCCGGATAGGCATATAATCAACACACTCCTAATTGTAGAAAATTTAATAAAATCAAGACACTCCTATGTTGCTTCCATTTTCCTTTGCTGATAAATCTACAAACTTCTTTTGGTTTCTCAAGTATCCGGTGTGTCCTTGCATGATGAATAATCTCTCCGGATGGGAATATAAGTATGGCACAGGAACTTAGGTCGTCAGTTTAACAGTTGAAATATATATAACATGCCACAAGTATATTTTATATGACAAATAACACATTTTTTGCTAATCAAATCAAAGACGTAAAACAAGAAGATGTCTTAGATGTCAGCTAATACCGCTAATACCAGTTGGGAAATACTCCCTCTGTTCCTAAATATAATTCTTTTTAGAGATTCCAACATGAACTACATGTAGATGTATATATGCATATATATTAGAATGTAGATTTACTCATTTTGCTTGGTAGGTAGTTCGCATTGAAATCTCTAAGAAGACTTGTGTTTAGGAAGAGAGAGAGTAATTAGCAACTATACTTACACAAGAAGCAATCCGCTAAAAAGATTTTGTTCCAAAAAAATGCAAGAGATATACAACACTAGAACTGAGTGCATATACATATACAAATTTGCTAATAAACAAACGTCTATTTTTATTTTTTGGCAGGTCAGTCAATTCCCCCCCTCCCACGCGCAGAGCCTCAAGGTGACGAGGGCTCGTCACGTACAAATTGGAGCCGGCGATAATGTGGTTGGCCAAGTCATCATAGATGGAGCCGAGACGGAGGCTTGATTAGTTCGGTTTTGAGATTGTGGCTAGTGTGAAGGCTTGTGAAGTTTGAGGGAAAGCTTGAGGTGACAATGACATGGTAAACACGATATAATGGTAAGATAGGGCGGCGTGTCCGTGAGAATGGCACGGGTGGCGGTAGCAGCCGATTCGGTCCGACTGTCGGGGTGATGAGGACAGACAGTTCACCAGGCACTCATGAGCGTCATAGGATGTCACGACTCCCGGAGGAAGAACAAAATCATGTGGTCGTTAAATAAAAATTGGATAATAGAGAGCAAAGTGACTAAAGTCAAGAAAAATCCAGCCATATGTGTAATAATAGTCCCATATACATACAAGTGTCGATGTCTTTTTAGTTTTTAAGACGGGCACAGAAAAGTACCAGGCACCTAACCCGTGTTATATGGCGCACTCTGTAAATCACGGAGGGCAAACTCAAACATGTGGAAATGAACAATATCAATCCGACCACGACGAAGACATATTTTGGGCTGGTTTAACTTAAAACATCCAGATGACTATTAAGTGGAGAGTAAATCCAGCTAGATACACTGTTGAGTGGAGGCTAAATCAAGCTCAAATACTTTAATGGTTGTTCTTTTCTATAAGAAAAGTCGTCATAAAGAGTTACGTCGATGCAATCTTTGACACTGATTCGGATAATTCTGAGTCTCAATATGGATACGTATTAAAAGTGAGAGCAATTAGCTAGAGTCTTGATGACCCACAAGTATAGGGGATCTATCGTAGTCCTTTCGATAAGTAAGAGTGTTGAACCCAACGAGGAGCAGAGGGAAATGACTAGCGGTTTTCAGTAAGGTTTTCTCTGCAAGAACTGAAATTGTAGGTAACGAATAGTTTTGTGATAAGATAAATTGTAACGAGTAACAAGCAATAAAAGTAAAATAAGTGCAGCAAGGTGGCTCAATCCTTTTTGTAGCAAAGGACAAGCCTGGACAATTTCTTATAATGAGAAAAGTGCTCCCGAGGACACATGGGAATTATCGTCAATCTAGTTTTCATCACGCTCATATGATTCGCGTTCGGTACTTTGATAATTTGATATGTGGGTGGACCGGTGCTTGGGTACTGCCCTTACTTGGACAAGCATCTCACTTATGATTAACCCCTATTGCAAGCATCCGCAACTATAAAAGAAGTATTAAGGTAAACCTAACCACAACATTAGACATATGGATCCAAATCAGCCCCTTACGAAGCAACAGATAAACTATGGTTTAAACTTCTATCACTCTAGCAACCCATCATCTATTTATTACTTCCCAATGCCTTCCTCTAGGCCCAAATAATGGTGAAGTGTCATGTAGTCGATGTTCACATAACAACACTAGAGGAGAGACAACATACATCTCATCAAAATATCGAACGAATACCAAATTCACATGACTACTAATAGCAAGACTTCACCCATGTCCTCAGGAACAAACGTAACTACTCACAAAGCATATTCATGTTCATGATCAGAGGAGTATTAATATGCATTAAGGATCTGAACATATGATCTTCCATCGAGTAAACCAATTAGCATCAGCTACAAGGAGTAATCAACACTATTAGCAACCCACAGGTACCAATTTGTGGTTTTGATACAAGATTGGATACAAGAGATGAACTAGGATTTTGAGAGGAGATGGTGCTGGTGAAGATGTTGATGGAGATTGAGCCCCTCCCGGTGAGAGGATCGTTGGTGATGACAATGGTGATGATTTCCCCCTCCCGGAGGGAAGTTTCCCCGGCAGAACAGCTCCGCCGGAGCCCTAGATTGGTTCCGCCAAGGTTCCGCCTCATGGCAGCGGAGTTTCGTCCCGTAAGCTTGCTTACGATTTTTTTTCAGGGTAAAAGCCTTCATATAGCAGAAGATGGGCACCGGAGAGCCACCAGGGGGCCCAGGAGATAGGGGCGCACCCAGTAGGGGTGGGCGCGTCCCCCACCCTCCTGGCCAGGGTGTGGGCCCCCTTTGGTGTTTTCTTCGCTCAATAATTCTTATTAATTTCAAAAATGACTTCCGTGGAGTTTCAGGATTTTTGGAGCTGTGCAGAATAGGTTTCCAATATTTGCTCCTTTTCCAGCCAGAATTCCAGCTGTCGGCATTCCCCCTGTCGGTGTCAAAACCGGCGGATCTCGGGTAGGGGGTCCCGAACTGTGTGTCTAAGACGGATGGTAAAAGGAGGCAGGGGACACGATGTTTTACCCAGGTTCGGACCCTCTCGATGGAGGTAATACCCTACTTCCTGCTTGATTGATCTTGATGATATGAGTATTACAAGAGTTGATCTACCATGAGATCGTAGAGGCTAAACCCTAGAAGCTAGCCTATGGTATGATTGTTGTTGTCCTACGGACTAAACCCTACGGTTTATATAGACATCGGAGGGGGCTAGGGTTACACAGAGTTGGTTACAGAGAAGGAGATCTAACATCCGAATCGCCAAGCTTGCCTTCCACGCAAAGGAGAGTCCCATCCGGACACAGGACGAAGTCTTCAATCTTGTACCTTCATAGTCCAACAGTCCGACCGAAGTACATAGTCTGCTGTCCGGACACCCCCTAATCCAGGACTCCCTCAGTAGCCCCTGAACCAGGCTTCAATGACGATGAGTCCGGCACGCAGATTGTCTTCGGCATTGCAAGGCGGGTTCCATCTCCGAATACTTCAAGATAAATTCCGAACACAAGGATCGTGTCCGGCTCTACAAGACAGATTTCAAATACCACCGTAGAGAGATAAATATTTCACAAATCAAATCTGCTGACATCGTGACATCACACCATGGTCGAGTCATCATTCGAGCCGTTTTCTCATAGCCGGCCACCGCACATATTGCGAGGTGGTTTCCTCGGCACGTCTTGTCGAAGCAGAGATCGTGTCCCCTTGTCACGGGATTCTCATTAATAAGGGTACGGGTAACCCAACAGTGTTATTTAACGTGGCGCTTGGAAAATAAGCGATTTTTAACAGGAAAGTGGGGAGGCGCACAGTTTTCACTGCCTCTATAAAGGGACAAGGATCCCCCATTCTTACCCACGCCTTCTTCCTCCTTTGCTCATCCATTCTCGCACTCTCGAGCCCCAACGCCCAAGTTCTCACCTTCTCCGTAGGACCATTCGCAGCATGTCCGGAGCGGGAGGCAAGTAGACGGAGGAGGACATTACCAAGCTTCGGGTGGCCGGATACCTGGCCATAAACATCGCGCACAGGCTGCCAGCGGAGGGACAAATCACCCCCACTCCAAAGTCTAGGGAGAGAGTAGTATTCCTCTCTCATTTCATCCGCGGACTAGGATTTCCACTTCACCCGTTTGTCCACGGGCTAATGTTTTACTATGGGCTAGATTTCCATGATCTAGCCCCAGATTTCGTCCTCAACATCTTGGCGTTTATCGTCGTGTGCGAGGCCTTCCTCCGCATCAGGCCCCACTTCGGCCTGTGGCTGCAAATCTTCTGTGTGAAGCCGAAAATCGTGAGTGGCAAGCAGGCGGAGTGCGGAGGCGCCATGGTGGGCAGAATGCCAAACG